ATTGTTAACGACCTACTGGTACTTCTCCGGACTCAACATCCTCCTCGGTCCATCTGAGGCTTCCACTGATGCCACTACCGCTTGGGTTCGACCTTCTGAGCTTCGACAGAACCCAAAACCTACAACCTGGTTTGATCCCTCGACTCTTCATACTTTTCCTACACATGAATCGGAACCACAAACATTCTCGATTGCTGTCAAACACCCCTAGTGGCAACAAGCAATGACTAATGAATATGCAGCCTTGCTAAAAAAATGGTACGTGGACTCTTGTACCTCCTGCACCTAATATGAACATTGTTGATTATAAATGGGTATACAAAATTAAACGGGATCAAACAGGAGCCATTACACGATACAAGGCTCGTCTTGTCACTAAAGGTTTTCACCAAAAACCCGGGATTGATTATCACGACACGTTTAGTCCGGTTGTCAAGTTCACCACTATTCGAGTTGTTCTTTCTCTTACTGTGTCCAACAGTTGGCCCCTTCAACAGTTGGATGTTAAAAGTGTCTTTCTTCACGGTGATCTCAATGAAATGGTATACTTGCGCCAGCCTCTAGGTTTTCTTGACCCACATAAACCTAATCATGTTTGTCTTCTTCATAAGTCTTTATATGGACTAAAACAAGCTCCACGTGCTTGGTTTCCCCGTTTGTCTAAGGTTCTCTACAGTCTTGGCTTCAAAGGATCTCGTAATGATCCTTCTCTTTTCATATTGACAGCTCAGGGTATGCGAATTTACATGTTGGTTTATGTTGACGATATCATCATTACAGGAAACAATCAAGACGCTATTGATTAGATTGTTCGCAGCCTGAGTCAGACCTTTTCTCTTCAAGACACGGGAGCTTTATCTTATTTTCTTAGCGTTTCGGTTGCTTATTGTGGAACTGATCTATTTGTCTCTCAAAATCAGTATGTGTTGGACATTTTACAACTTGCTGGTCTTACCGAGGCTAAGCTAGTTAGCACCCCTCTTCCTATGGGTGCTCCTTTGTTTCTTGGTGACAGTTCTCTTTTTGAAAATCCTGTTCGGTATCGTCAAGTAGTTGGTACTTTGCAGTATGTCACTTTATCCAACATCTCTTATGTAGTTAACAAAGTCTATCAGTTCATGCATTATCCAACTGTCAACCATTGGTCTGCTGTCAAACGGGTTCTTCAGTATCTTCATGGTACCAATACCTTTGGTCTTTGTCTTACACCATCTCTGACACCATCATTCATGCCTATGGTGATGCACAATCTATGGTTACCGCCATTTCTGATGCTGATTGGGCTGGGTGTCCGGATGATCGTTGATCCACCGGGGGGTATGCTATGTATCTTGGTTCGAATCTTGTTTCTTGGTCAGCAAGGGAACAGAAGACTGACTCTCGTTCATCCACCGAGGATGAGTTCAAAGCCTTAGCTAATATTGTTGCTGAGGTAACCTGGCTTGAATCTTTACTACAATACCGGTTTTATGGTGTGACAATCTTGGTGCCACTTATCTGTTTGCTAATCCTGTTTTCCATGCTCGCACAAAACATGTTGATGTTGACTTTCATTTTGTTAGAGAAAAAGTTGCTGCCAAGACACTCTCCGTTCAGTTTATATCCACGGATGACCAGATTGCTGATATATGTACTAAGCCATTATCTTCACAAAGATTTGAGGGGTTACGGTCCAAGCTTCAATTCCTTACCCGGCCTTAGCTTGCGGGTGAATATTAGACAAATTATTATGGGTATAGCGTTGAATGCGTGTGTGTGTGTGTATATATATATATATATATATATATCCATCGTGTAATCATATATTCGTTCAATAATACAACTTATTGATCACGTTATCTGAGAATAACACAACAATGTTACGAAAATATCCATGCGAATTTCATTTCCATCAACGTTACGAAAATATTCATGAGATATTTTTATATTAGATAAGATCATTTATGAATTTACATATCTTTTTATGAAGTAGATATTATTTTATGATAGATAATTAAAAGTATCTGATATCTAAATATAGTATTTTCGTAAATATATTTGAAATCATTTATATGGGATAAGTCATTGATTTTTCTTCCAACACTAACCTCAAGTTAAATGACTAAATGTTAGGCCATAAGGTATGAGACTCATTTTTACGTGTATAGGGTGAGGTGGCATGCATCTTCCCTCACTAGTAAATGTGGTGTGAATTGATGTCTATTACACCTCCTTACGAGTTACGCCCAATAGAATTCCAAATTCATCTGCTACTCTCTATCTCTCTTCACTTTCTCTTTCTCTCTCTTTGTTCACTAGTGAACACCACCCCCAATTGTAGTAAACATGTAGTGAAGTGGTTATTTGAATAATGTGACAGAACTCTTAAACAAATAATAATTTCAAACCATACATTTTAGCCTTATCTAAATATATTAAATGAGTATAATTAACAATTATAATAAGTTAATTGAAACTTATTTATTTTCCTACATTTAAGTTTTTTTAAGATAGATAACATATGCATCTACAACTTTTACTTCTACATTTTTTAAAATTTACTTCTAAATCTATATTTTTTTTTTTATCTTCTACAGACCTTAAACACACCTTTCTATTTTAATACACCTAATACCGGCCATATACCAGTTGGTCCCTAAATATAAATAATTTTAACCTTTATTACCTATTGTCAAAACTCTTTAGAAATAAATTCATAACATTAATTGAGGGTGTTTTTAATAACTAACTAAAAGTAAAGGGTTGGATTTGACAATTTGTGAAGTAAATATCCACCGACCACCGACCACCGTCCACCGACATTTATTTTCCCGCTCGAATGGGCAAACGCCGGTAGCAGCACGGCGGTTTATTGGAACGACAGTCGTAGATTTTGGCATACGAATGATATGAAACTCTGTACGAAAAATTGAATTGTGGCCATTCAGTTAAGTAACATAGTTTTGAAGATGAAGATCTTGACCACGCTGGTGAATTAAGTTTTTAGTTTTGTTAATTTGAGGATTAGGGTTACTAATACCATGATTACGATTTGATGTTGAATGTAACTGAATAAAATTGGTGTTGCAGCGCGAGTTATACATGCAATGTTCAGCCACTGGGGGATACCAGAAAGTGCAGCAACAACGAGGGGATGGAACCTAAGCGGAGACCCATGCACCGGCGCCGCCGTCGACTCTACCAACTTCAATGACGGTAATTACAATCCCGGTATCAAATGCAACTGTAATTTCCCGAATTCTACTTGCCACATCACTGCACTGTGAGTGTTTCCCTCTGTTCTTTCCTCTTCAAATGTCTCCGAATAAACTTTAATAATCATTATTTCAATTCCCCTTAAATCATCAGGAAAGTTTATGCATTGGATGCTAGGGGCACAATCCCTGAAGGACTCTGGACTTTGTTTAACCTTACTATTATGTATGTATTCAGCTGTTTCTTCACACTGTTAACTACTATTGGAAGTTATATCCTAAACGTATCAATCCATGTTATGAATATATCTACTAAATAATCAGATTGTTTGCTACAGTAATTTGGCCCAGAACTACTTGACAGGTCCCTTGTCACCTTCCATTGGCAATTTAACTCAAATGCAATACATGTAAGCCATCTGTTTTTGGTACTATAAACCCTCTATGTCTTTAAAGTTACATCTGAGATTTCAGATTTATAAGTTATATAATGATGAGTTTTGAATCCTTTTTATAGAACTATCAGCATCAATGCATTATCAGGGCAGGTTCCACGAGAGATAGGACAGCTTACGGATCTTAGATTACTGTATACTTTCTTCCTACTTTGTTTACCTTTCTGCAAATCTGCAATCAATCATCAACTTCTTTTTAATTATTTGTTGTATTATCTTTACCTTTTTATGTTGCAGCTCATTTAGCGGAAACAATTTCAATGGTTCTCTGCCACCTGAAATTGGAAATTTGAGAGAATTACAACAAATGTAAGAACTAAGAACACCCATCTTGAACTCCTCTTTCATTACTGTTGTCTCACTATTGCCTTCTGTTGTGCATATCTGTAAAGAATATCATTGGTTATATCATCTAATATCATCTTCATGTATGTTCATTTTTTGTCAGTTACATTGATAGTTCTGGAGTTACTGGTGAAATACCTCCTTCATTTGCTAATTTACGGAACTTGCAGACAGTGTAAGAGAGTTTATATTTAATGATATTTCATGGCACTTCATCCATCATATAAAAATTGTGATACTTTCTTTTTTGGATATTCGATAAATACAAGATTTCCTTTTTGGGAAAGTTTTTATGTAACAATGACCTAGTTCTACAATGGGCTGTAAACCTTTGGCTAAATAATACATTTGGTCCTTTGGCAATGCTTAGAGGTTCTACGAATAAATCCAGAATATTTATCTTCCAAAAATAATATTCATTGCAACAAAATCCAACATTTAGGATGTTACACAAATTTCTTTGAAAAGGAGTACCATATGTTTATTCTTATCAGTCTTCAATAATTTGTATCATTTATATTGGAAAATGACTCTTGGTTTCTCAGATGGGCTTCTGATAATGGATTCACAGGCAGAATACCGGAGTTTATAGGGAATTGGTCACAGTTACAAGCATTGTAAGCAAACATCTAGATTATTTACATGTTCTTCACTTGGAAAATTTTGAGTATAAGGTATTGTTGATGTTTCTATAGGAGGTTTGAGGGAAACTCTTTTGAAGGTTCAATACCATCTTCATTTTCTAGACTGGCCTCTTTGCAGGAGTTGTAAGCCTTTGTTTTCATAAGCATTCATTATTATATTTTGCAAGTTTCTATTTTTGATCTTTTAATTTGCTTTCTATAATGTTACAGGAGGATAAGTGGTTTATCTAATGGAAATCTGGATTTTATTCAGAATTTGAAGTCCCTTAGTGTTCTGTAAGCAAGTTTTTTTTTTTTTTTTTGAAGTCTACCCATGCTTTGTTTATTATCGTGGAGCTTAATATATAACAAGATGTTACCTCTTGCAGAATGTTGAGGAATAACAAACTTTCTGGCTCTATTCCAAATGACATAGGTGAACATGTCAACTTGACACTACTGTGAGTATTGATTAATCTGAATATATGGATTTACTTTCATAGTATGAATATAAATTAATAACGAAAAGCTCTCCAATTGGGTGTCTACTTTTCAGGGATTTGAGTTTCAACAATTTGAGTGGGGTGATTCCAAGAGGATTGTTCAACTTGAGTCAAATGTCTTTCTTGTAATACACATATTCTCCTTCTTTGATAAATAGGATTTGGTCAATAGGTCTTGATATTGACCAGATTTACATGTAATAATTCTCAGGTTTCTTGGAAACAACAGTTTAACCGGTACCCTTCCCAATGCAAAGAGCACAACTCTCCGCAATATGTAAGTGGATTTTGTATTTGCAAAATTGGTTATAGGTTAGTTAATCAAAAAGAAAATGAAATTTTTTTCTTCTAATTTCCTTACAATTGTCTTCTTGGCTCTTGTAGTGATTTGTCATACAATGAACTATCTGGGACACTTCCTTCTTGGGCTATTGACCCAACCTTACAAGTGTAAGTGCTTCGTTTTTATATATCTTTGTGCCTTGTGTATTTTCTATTAAAAAGTGGCAAACACGCATTACTTTTTAGCATAAATTTTAAAACTAATTTTTCATTTCTCATTGTTAGATATAGGGGTGTAAGTGAGCCGAGCTACTCGTGAGCTACTCGAGATCGACTCGTTAAAAGCTCGACTCGAGATCGAATTAAACGAGCCCGAGCCGAGCTCGAGCCTAGATATGAGGCTCGTTTACTAAACGAGCTCGAGCCGAGCTTCAATTAATGGGGCTCGTGAGCCTAAACGAGCTTAAACGAGCCTCTATATATATATATATATATATATATATATATATATGCATAGAGGCTCGTTTAGGCTCGATTAGGCTCGCGAGCCCACTAAATTTCTCATGAGCCGAGCTCGAGCTTCATTTTAAGGCTCGAATCGAGCTCGAGCTCGAGCTCGAGCTTCCTCAAATTAAACGAGCCGAGCTCGAGCTTGGTCAGGCTCGGGCTCGGCTCGGCTCGTTTACACCCCTAGTTAGATATATACCTTTCTGATTAAATTGTAATCATCTAGTTGTATTAGATTAGGATTCCACTTTCCATAGATAGGTCTCATCTTGTGTATAAAATGAGAGTTTTGAGATTGTAAATATCATCAAGGAAGTTAATTAACTCTTACATGGTATCACGCCTATAAGATCACCCCTAGCCACAGATCCCTATTTCCATCTTTGGAGATCAACTTTCCCCTATTCTCACCTCTCTCTCTCTCTCTCTCTCTCTCTCTCTCTTTTTCTTTTTCTTTTTTTGCAATCAATTTGTTAATGATACCAAATTTCACCCTACCATCATTGTTTTCAAATATCAAGAATCTGGTACCTATCACTTTGGAGATTGGAAAAGAGTCGATATACTTCTTGGTCAAAACTATTCAAGATTCAATGTCGTGGCTATCAAGTTATCGACTGTATCATTCCATGCGCCACCCTCCCAAATGTTGTTACCAAAGAAACATGGACTCGTCTTGACTCTTGATGCTATTGCTCTTCAATGGATTTAGTGTTGAGAAATATGTATCCAAATGAAAGAACAAACAATCAACGATATCGATTAATGAGAAGTCATCAACCGAAATACCCAAAACCCTTGGTCCCTAAAAGGAGGGTCAACTCACAACCAAAATGGAACAAATAGGATGTGAAATAACAAAGATAACAATGCCTAACACAATCTAAACAAACAATATAACAATAATCAAACAAAATGAGATTTAACGTGGTTCCACGACCGAAGAGATTGTGTACATCCACAAGGGAGAGATGGCATCTTGTACATGCAAAATCTACGGCATGTGCTCCCACGGATCTTGCACAAACAATGCAAGCTATATCATTCAACGTTGTTGATGATAACCAAAGTGTTGATAACTAGACATACACATACACATACACATACACATACACATAGGACATAGGACATTGGGGCCTTATCACTTGAAAGGCACTCAAGGTAAGCTTCATGACTTTCAATTTGAGGAACTTAAATAAACACATAATCGTTGATAATAGACATAGGTAACCTTCTAAATTACGGATACAAACATTTGTCCTTCCCTCCTCCTTTTCGATTAAACATCTTCTTTTCTCCTCGTCTTGCTAAAAACTTAATCTTTGTTCGTCGTCTAGCTATTGATAATAATCTCTCTCTCTACTTTGACTCGTTTGGTTTTCTTGTGAAGGATTACCCAACGGGGATACCTTTAATGTGATGCAATATTACCAAGGACCTTTACACACTTTTCTCTCCTACGCTCCAACAAATTCAAACTCCTCAGGCCTTGTAAGCGTTAAACAGCTTCTAGTATTTGTTAGCTGTGTATCTATGTGTCTTTGGGAAAGAAGTAAAGTTACCTTTTTAGGATTCAGTGTCGTTTACTTCATCTCCTCTTGATATTATTCATGGCGACTTAGGGACATCACTGATTTTCAGTTCCGGGGACACCGTTACTATATTTTATATTTTGACGACTACTAATATTCTATGGACTTTTCCCCTAGGCCATAAATCTAACGTTTTTTCGACTTTCATAGGATTCGATTATTTTACTCGAATACTTTACAAAACCAATTAAAACATTACGATATGACTATGGTATGGAATATAACAATCATTAGTTTCACAATTATTGTTCAAAAAATGGAATGGTCTTCCGTGTTTCTTGCGTACATATTTTTTCCCAAGATGGCAAAGCCAAACAGAAAATCCATGCTATAAACATCATTAGAATTCTCCTTTCTCAGTCTCATGAACTCGTCAATGTTTGGCACCATGCCCTTCAAATGGCAACATACCTCTTCAACATCCTTTCCTAGCAAACTATGAACATTTATCTCCACTATCCAACTAGACTTCCCTTTTATCACCACCTTCGGGTATTTAGATGCCTATGTTACTGTCTCATACCCTCCACCACTGCCAATAAACTTCAATCCTGCTTTTCACCTTGCTTTTTTTCTTGGCTGCCCCAATAATTATAGCAACTTTAAATGCTATAACCATGTCACTAAGAAAATCATTCTTTCTCATCATGTAATTTTTTATGAACAAAATTCCCTTTTGCCAACATAACATATCCAAACCCACCTAATTACACCAACCTTCATAACAACATTAGTACCACTAAGCTATATTTTAGGAGTATCCGTTAACCAAACTAAAAATAGACTCTTTTTCCAATAAACACAATATGCCAAGGACATCTTTGAAGGGTAGTATGACCTCATGTAAATCGTCACATACACCCGTGGATACAAATGCAAAACTCGGGCTCCATCATTGGCGATCCTTTTTAGAGCCCGACTTATTTTCGAAGTTTAGCTGACGCACTTCAATACCTTAACTTCACCCGTACCCACATATTCTATGTACTACAACATATTTTCCTCCACATGCACCATCCTAATACGTGTCAAAGGAATGATGTCAAACACATTATTTGTTAGTTGTTACTTGCAAGACACTCTATCTTATGGCTTAAATTTAGTCAAAACAAAATCAGACAACCAACTTTGTCACATGAATGCACCATCTTGGTACACGTTGATCTACTTCCGGTTATTGTGTTTTCCTAGGAGACAATCTTATTTCATGGCCATCCAAGCACAACCTACTATTTCCCGGTTAAGTGCGGAGGCCAAGTATCATGGTATTGCTAATGTTGTTTCCGATTCTTGTTAGCTCTGTGACCTACTTCTTGAGTTACATTGCCCTCTCATAAAATCCACTATAGTATACTGTGATAATGTTAGTGTCATTTTTATTTCGGAGAACTCGATCAGTTCAACATCAATGGACTAAGCATATTGGATGGATATGCATGTTGTACAAGGTTGCTTATGGAAGGGCCACATTTTACATGTACCTTCTTGTTATTAATTTTCCGATATGTTCACCAAAGGTGTATCCAGGGTTCTTTTAGATGATTTCAGGGACTATAGCATCCATCCACATCCAGCTTCTACTGTAGGGGAATATAAGATATACCTATCTGATTATATTGTAATTATTTGGTTGTATTAGATTAGGGTTTCACTTTCCATAGATAGGTCTCATCTTTTCTATGTATTGAGAGGATTCTAAACATCAAGGAAATTAATCAACTCTTACAATAATTTGTGTACGTGCAGTAACATAGTTTCGAACAACTTCACTTTGAACAATTCGGGATTAAATTGTCTCCAAAGGGGTTTCCCTTGTGGTCGTGGATCGCCAATGTGTAAGCCAAAAATACTAAGTTTCTCTTGTTATTAATAATTGTTTGAGTAAATTACATTTTTGGTCCCAAAAAGTTGTCTCTTGCAGTTTTGGTCCTCATGTGAGATTCTTGTAACGTTTTTTGGTTTCTGTTCCAAAAGTCAGCTAAACTCTTGGCCTCTTGGGACCAAAAATGTAATTTACTTTAATGTTTTTGATTTGTATGATTTATGGATTACTTGATTTACAGATAGTGACTTTGGAATCAACTGTGGTGGTCCACGGATTACATCCTCAAGTCGTTTAGTCCATGAGCAAGATAACGGACAACTGGGGCCCGCAACATACTATTTGACTCCCGAAAGTAGGTGGGGTGTCAGCAATGTGGGACGAAGGGACAACCCTGTGGATATTGTGTCCTCCCAACGCCAATTCACAAACACTTTAGATTCAGAACTCTACCAAACAGCAAGACTCTCTGCTGGATCTTTAAGATATTACGGTTTAGCCCTTGAGAATGGTAACTACACTGTAAACCTCCGCTTCGCAGAACTTGAGATTGAAGATGGTCTCACTTGGAGAAGCCTTGGAAGGCGTGTATTTGACATTTATGTCCAGGTCTGTCATCTGTGTTCAATACTACTAATAGCATTCTTAGGCGTTGTTTCTTTTTTACTTAATCTGGACAGAATGACTTAATGGATTAAGCCAAAAATATATGGCTTAATTCATCAAAACTCTTTCCCTATTTGTCTTTTTTTTACTCCCACTTTAAAATGGATGAATATTGATAGACCCTTGTTGAATCTATCGTATACTCCAGACATACTAACAAAAATACTTGATAATATTAAGATAATTCCCAGTCATTCGAGAGGAAAGGGGCTCTCCAAAAGAACAACGTTCTAGTTCTTACAAATTCTTCCCTCTTTCACTTTACCTTCTAACTACTATATATACTACCACTAAAGAAAAGGACAAAAGAGAATAACAACTTAGCAAGGTGATATACCCACTACTTTGAATCACCACTAACTCTAACCTGCAAAATAAATAAAAGACCAAACTGCCCTCCATACACTAATTCTGGAAATAGGTTGCAGAAGATCAGACTTTGGGCTTCTTATACCATAAACTAAGAGTCCATTGGGCTTATCAAATTTGTTTTTTTTTTTTTTTTTTTGGAAATGGTTATATAAATCCCATTCAAAATATGCAACACTTTATCCAGACTTAAATCATTACCCCTTAAGCTGCTTCTTCATACAGGACCTTGTGAGTAAAAAAAGAAAAGAAATAGTCCTTTAATTGAAAGAGGGAATTATAGAAATAGTCCCTATGGTTTTGTGGAAGTAGCTGATTCAGTCAAGTTTTGATTTTTGTTGCCTGGCTAGTCCTTGTGGTTACACTTTGTTGCAACCTTGGTCCCTGGGTTCTTAAATATTGTCTTTTATATTCAGGGAAACATGGTGATTCAAGATTTTGATATAAAAAGGGAAGCAGGGGGAGCTTCAAATAGACCTGTTACGAGGGAAGTGATAGTTGAGGTTTCAAATAACTATCTTGAAGTACATTTGTTTTGGGCTGGAAAAGGGACTTGTTGTATACCTACTCAAGGAACTTTTGGACCTCTTATATCAGCAATCAGTGCTACCCCAAGTACAATTCTTTCTTGAAATTTATTGTTCAATTTTTCTCTTGATTCTTAACAAAATGACAAGAACGGCCTTCACTTTTTTTTTTTTTTTTTTTTTTTTTTTTTTTTTTACAGATTTTATCCCTAGTGTGAGCAATAATCCACCTTCCAACAAGAAGAATAATAATACCGGTTTGATTGTAGGGATTTTGGTTCCGATTGTAGTTGTGAGTTTTTTGGTGTTATTAGCCCTGTATATTCTTCGTCAGCGAAGGAAAAAGAAGAATAATGATGACAATTATGATGAAGGTGGTATTTCTGGATCTTTCTTTATGAGTTAAGATAGAGGAAAAGTGTTTTACATTGTAACAATTTGAAATCTTTTTGACTTTTGATAATTTACAGAGTTTCTGGGAATTGAGGCGAGACCATATACCTTTAGTTATGAAGAACTGAGAGATGCAACAAATGATTTTAGTCCTGCAAATAAACTTGGTGAGGGTGGTTTTGGACCCGTTTACAAGGTACTTTTTTGTATATCAAGAATCCATTTTTGCTTCTTGAATTCAAAATAAACCATGATTAGTTGGATGGAATGGAACGAGTCATTGCATTCCATGCTCATGTTTGATTAGAGTGTAATGGAATGATAAAAGATTGAATTTCTGTATGATTTTTGGTATTGTGTAAGTACATCGTATAGTTTTAACTCTACCCTATAGCTCATCTTACGGGATAATCACTAGAATGACCATGTTTATTTCTCAAACAAGTTTATTTCATTACATTCCTTCCCTTATCCCACAATACCAAACACTCCCTCAAAATCTCTTTGATGAAAAACAGGGAACACTTGCTGATGGGAGAGTAATAGCTGTTAAACAACTATCGATAGCTTCCCAACACGGTAGGAGTCAATTTGTTGCAGAAATTGCTACAATATCCGCAGTCCAACACCGTAACCTCGTGAAATTATACGGATGCTGCATCGATGGAGCAAAACGACTTCTTGTCTATGAGTATCATGAAAACAAGAGCCTCGATCAAGCATTATTCGGTATAAAAAGTTACATATATTTAGACATAAAATATGAAGTACTAAAAAAGTATAATGCTATAATGTTACATTTGGGGTTTATGATGTAGGAAGCAACAAATTGTCGCTTATATGGTCCACCCGTTTTGACATATTAATGGGCTTAGCACGGGGTCTCACGTATCTCCATGAGGAATCTCGCATACGGATTATACACAGAGATGTGAAATCCAGCAATGTTTTGCTTGATTCTGATATGAACCCTAAGATATCAGATTTTGGTCTGGCCAAACTTTATGATGACAAGAAAACACACATGAGTACTCGTGTTGCAGGCACAATGTAAGATTAATTGATCGACTATATTTGATTTAGAGTAAATTACGTTTTTGATCCCTAGTTTATATAGTTGATTTTTTAAAATTTTGGTCCTTATTTGATGTTTTTGTAACACTATTGATCTCTGTATCAAGGAGTTGGAAAAAGTGTCCCTCCCCCAAGGGGTTTGAGGGTTCAAGTCTCGCTGGAGACATTGGTGTGGTTTAGAATTAGATTAAAGAGCGTGTCTCTAAAATAAATGACTATTTTTTTTGACTAAATTTGAAAATATCAACTATACTTAGGGATCAAAAATGTAATTTATTTACTCTTTCTTATTAATTCACTATCATTTGTAGTGGGTATCTGGCACCAGAGTACGCAATGCTTGGACACCTCACGGAAAAGGCTGATGTGTTTGGGTTTGGAGTTGTGGCTTTAGAGATTGTCAGCGGAAGGTCCAATTCTGATTCATTTTCTGAAGATGAGAAAATACATCTCCTTGAATGGGTATGTTTTCATCTGGAATCTGCACAAAATGAATTTATATACACAATCTACTCCTAATAAACCAAAAGTAAAGATTCATATGATAAACCAAAGGGAAATTTTCATAAAAGGTAACCATTTTTGGTCATTTTTCTCTTTAAAGTAACCAACATCTTTTGCCACAACTTATGGTTTTTTTTTTTTAGTAAGAGTGCTTATTAACTTATCAGGGTGTTCAAACGGAGTTTTAAAAATAGTGTTTGGATTAGCTTATTCCGTACCAAATTGGTCACCTTTTTTTTTTTTTTTTTTTTTGATGTCAGACAAGAAAATGGCCAAAGTTGGTTGCCCGTTTATGCATTTTTTTTTCCTAAATTAAAACCTGAACAAGAAAAATACTGTTTTGGTCCTTAGCCAGAAAATATTCATTAAGAATTCTGCATTTAGATGACAGATTACAGATGCCAGAGAGAGAAGGGAGGAAAAGATACAATTTCATTATTGATTGCCTCACTCTAAACCTGAAAACAGAAGGAATGTAAATACTAAATAATGTAGGGTCGATTTACAGCCAAAAAGTCCCCAATATATATGACACTTCTACCCTCAAATTAAGATAAAATTGAACAGACTTTAATAACATAAATCAAAATCTTCCATTTACAATATGTATTGGTTCAAACTCGCTATGGAATGAAATCTTGAATTCCGATCCCATTATTCTGTCAGAATCTGCAAACCAAACACAGTGTGTCACAAAATAAAAGAATTTCAAGATCAAACTCACTAAAATTTAGCCAATGATTTTAAAACTTCATTTTTTAGCCTTGATAATCTTCATTTCCATGTGTAACGGATTTTAGTCATGGAACCTACACGAAGGGAACCGAGAACTCGAATTAGTGGATGAGGAATTGTCTGAATTTGATGAAAATGAAGTGAAAAGAGTAATAAGAGTTGCCCTTTTATGCACGCAAACTTCGCCAACATATCGACCACCAATGTCGCGTGTGGTGGCCATGATTTCGGGTGATGTTGAAGCAAGTGGTGAAATTACACGGCCTGAGTACTTGACGCGGTTAAAATTTGATGATGCTGCAATTTTTAAGAGTTCGGTTCAAAATTCGGTTAGTGATGGTGTGACAAGTACGAGTAACTCGACTGTTTCACCATGCACACCAAATGATATTTCTCGACCGATGCTTAGTGAGTTTATTGGAGAAGGTAGGTGATTTAATTACCTAAATGCCCTTGATGAGTTGTCCTGGACCTTATTTTGTTTATTTGGAAGACTGTTGAATGAATAGACTTTAATTTGTTTATGTGGAAGATTGTTGAATGAACATGTAATTGTTATGGTTGTGATGCTATAAATAAAATTACAGTAGTTTTGTTTTGCGGTTAACTTATGCAATTAGTTAAGTTTTGGATACACGGTCCCATTAAACTTGAAATGTCTAATTTTACCTTTTTTAAATATAATTTTTACATTTTTTTATCATTTACTTAAATAAATATATATTACTAAGATTGGAGAGAATGGTGTCATATTTGCCATGGTCCATATAGGTGCCATGTCAGATTTGCCACTTCTTCAAATTTTTGTCATTTACAGCATGGGTTGCCACATTTGGCATGGTATTTAAAAAAAATTGATTAATTTAAAATTTTAAACATTTCAAACATACTTTTTTTGAAACTAAAATTTCATTAACTTCTAAAAAAATAACACACTTACACTTAAAAAGCAAAACACATTTGAAATTAACTTTATACATACTTAAACTTAAAAAACATAACATAATTGAAATTAAACCAACATATTTTGGTCCGTCGCAAAGTTCATTACCGACGGATACCAATGGTTTTGGCCGTTTGTCATTAATTTCCTGTCAGGGTCTACTAAACCCAAACAAACTCTCCTTCAAATAATATGAAATAACTATACAGTCTGGAGAGATAATCTATTTTCATATCCATAAAAGTCTCATTTGACTTCTCTCTCTCTCTCAAAAAAACATCTCGATGATTCATTTATACAATGATTTTGTTGTTATTCACTAAAATTATCATAAAAATGAATTTTTTCTTAATTTACCTAAAAATGAATCATAAAGATGTTTTTTTGAGAATTTTTTCTTGTGAATCATCTTACAAATGAATCATCTAGTGATTCATTTATTTTGTTCGTCAAAAAAATATGTAGAAAAAAAACTTCTTACCTTCCTACCAAAAAAAATTTCTTACCGGATCTATATATATATATATATATATATATATATATATATATATATATATATATATATATATAATACTCTTCATACCTTCATATATCATATTTAATGCTAATCAAAACATGTGCAGTTAATGGTCACCCAGAATCAAATAATCAGTTGCATATATAATCGAAGAATCTGAATCATAGCTAGTTTACCTCAACATCTAAAACTGATTAATACTAACTTGGAATTGAAATAAATAGATTAAGCATGCATCCAAATACTCCCAATTGTTTTAGGGATTGTTCTGGTAATAGATTAGAATCGTCCCGGTTTGTTAATTTACTTTTGGTTCTCATTGCATCTGGTAGGAGACAGTTCTTCATGAATCTGATCGGAGATGAGAGGTGCTTTTAGGTTGAGGATGGTCGGAGATGAGAGCAGGTGAAGGGGCGTTTGGGCGGAAGATGATCGGAGATGAACTTCTGAATCGGTGCCTGAGTTGAAAATGAGAGAGAAAGAAGTATTTTTAAACTTTGATTTTTGTATTTTTTCTAATACTTACTTTTTTATACAAATTATATATATTTTTTTCAAGTTTTACATCTTGTATTATTGAGACAGACCCAACCCGGCCCGACCCGACCAATAGGTGTAGACATTGCTTAATGAAAAAAAAATGTCTGTTTGACTTTTCTACGCATTTATTGATATGAAGAAAAACTGTGTACGTATTATATAAATTAATAATATGATGTGAAACGGAGGAAGCAACGACTGACGGAGGCGTTTATTGCAGATGGCATCGCGGTTGTGGTTGTGTTTCTGCTTGACTATCACCGCCGCCATAACTCGAGCTCAAAACACCACCGATCCAGCTGAAGGTACTTCTTCATCCTCTCTCTCTCTCTCTCTCTCACACACACACACACACACTCACACACACTATGTGTACATGTTTTACTTTCATCTGCTCAATTATATCAATATCTCCGATTTGTGGTTGTGTGTGTGTGTGTTTTATCCAGAGAGAATTTCGTTCGCTCATTTATTCAGAATTCGATTTGAGTTTCATCTTCATTCGCATTAAAAGATGTTACTGATTAATGATTAGATGCTCTAACAGACCCAGCTTAATTTTATCAAAATTTTCGAACATATTCAGCATTTATTAGAAAAACTTAAAATAATAATAAAGTTAAATAAAATTTTCAATTGAAATTGATTAGTTTTCTTATTTGTATTTTCGAGCCTTATGTAATACTCTCAAGTCGAATAGCTTGAGTTCATCACTGAGAGAGAATTGATCGGCTCATTTTTGGACGTACTATTGACTTTAATTTTGTTACATGTGTTTTCTCTACAATTAGCATATGTAATTTTAACAGAATATATAAATATGAGTTATATTTCATTTTTTATTATATAGTAAAATGCAAAAAAGCTAGGTAGCTTAGACGATAACGTACGTTTCAATATGTTAATATATACAACATTATCTGGAATTATTATTTGCCATGAAGAAATTAATTGTTTTCAAAAAAAAAATGTACACCAACCAAAGCCAATCCATAGTATTTTGACCCATACCCAAAAATAATAAATAAATAAATTTGACTTGTGAAATCAGGTACTACCATCTGTTGTATCAATTCTAATATCGCAAACTTTTATATATTATAATATTGGGATTGGGTGCTTGTGTTGTATATTCTTGAATTATTTATATGATTTTTCTTTCTAGATTATATATATGACCACACACACTATGGATATAAAGTTCATACAATTATTATAAATCTCTGAAGTTATAAAAACATCCAAAAACTCCTTACATGGATGACAGTATACGTGGATGCAGCCATGCAAGTTGTATGGTATATATATTGGTATGAACGATGTTAATTTTAACTTGTAAACATATATTTAGATACAATTATATTCTGATTAAGATTTTTGCAAAAAATGAATATGATATTTTAAAAAAGTATTATTGACAAGAAATTTGTTCGATTTAAAGTTTGAAATACCCGAAGAATTTATTATTTTTCAATTTAACCATTGAAAGTTTTTTTTTTTAAAAAAAAAACATGTTTAACCTAAAAATAATTTTTTGATTGTATTTTGCAACTCATTAATAGAAAAAAAAAATTGGAGTGACTTAAAAAAAATCTAAATAGATAAATTAATTAGAAAAAAAAAACTTTGCATGGTTATATAAAAAAACCAAACTACATTGATCTTTATCAAATTCTAAATTGTATAACCTACGGTGAATTCTAGAAAAAAATTCATAACCCTCAGTTGGGAATTTGTTAGGATGACTAGGGGTCTTTTCGTATTTAACTAAAAAATTAAGGTTGCATTTGACAATTTTTGAAACAAATATCCACCGACTTCAATTCCATCAAATTCCTTACTTTTTCCCGCTTGAATGGGCAAATGCTGGCAGTAGCACGGTGGTTTATGCGAAAAACTGAGATTGTGGCCATTAGGTTTGGGTTAGGGTATCAAAATCAATATCACAACTGTTGAATTTAGTTTTCGATTTTGTTAATTTGAGGAATAATAGGGTTACTAGTACCATAGTTATGAATGAAACTGAAGAAAACTGGTGTTGCAGCGAGAGTTATAAATGCAATGTTCAGCCAATGGGGGATACCAGAAAGTTCAGTAACAGCGATGGGATGGAACATAAGCGGAGAATTATGCAGCGGTGCTGCCGTTGACAATACCAACTTCGATTACCATATTTACAATCCCGGTATCAAATGCGACTGTAATTTCCCCAATTCTACTTGCCACATCACCCACCTGTGAGTGTATTCTTTCCCTTCAAATATAAAACACTGTTATGTTCGAATTAACTTTAGGAACATTATCTTTTTGTCACTTCGATCAGAAACGTTTTTGCAATGGACGCAGTGGGCACAATACCCGAAGGACTCTGGACTTTGACTTACCTTACCAGTCTGTATGTATGCAGCTATTTCTACACTAGCTATATTGTTAAAACTAAAAGTTATGAATATCTATTTTTGTATTTTCCTAACATATCAAACTTTTGCTACAGTAGTTTGGTCAAGAATTACTTAACAGGTCCCTTGTCACCTTCCATTGGCAATTTAACTCGGATGCAGTACATGTAAGTCATCCCCTTTTTGATATTTTAAACTCAAATAATGATTTTGACCTCTATGTCTTTAAGATGATATATAATGATGAATTTGATTTTTTTTAATAGAAATATCAGCTTCAATGCGTTATCAGGGCAGGTTCCACGTGAGCTAGGACAGCTTACTGATCTTAGACATCTGTATACTTCCTCCTATACTTTGTTAACCTTTATGCAAATCTGCAACCAATTCACAACTTCTTCTGTTTAATTCTTTGTTATATTTTCTTTAATTTTTTATGTTGCAGGAAATTTGGCACAAACAATTTCGAAGGCTCTCTGCCTTCTGAACTTGGAAATTTGAGAAGATTAGAAAGGCTGTAAGAACTAAGAACACTCATCTTGAACTCCTCTTTCATTACTATTGCACCCACCAATGCATTCTGTTGTGCATATTAAACAATATCACTGATTACATCTTAATGTATGTTCATTTTGTCAGTTGGATCATTAGCTCTGGAGTTGGTGGTGATATACCTTCCACATTTGCTAATTTACAGAACCTACATCTAGTGTAAGAGAGTTTATATTTAATGATGTTTCAAGGCACTTCATCCATCATATAAAAAATTGTGAATTGTGATACATACACCCTTATAAAAATACATCTCATTTTCATTTTACTTCATAAACAATTTTCGAGAAGGTGCACCATATGTTTATTCTTCTCAGTTTTTAATAATTTGGGTCATTTATTTTGGAAAATAATTCTTGGTTTCTCAGAGGGGCTTCTGATAATGGATTCACAGGCAGAATACCGGACTTTATAGGGAATTGGTCACAGTTAGTATCATTGTAAGCAAGCATCTTAGATTATTTACATGTTTTTTACTTGGAATTTTTTTAAATATATGTCATACTTGATGTAGGAATTTTGAGGGAAACTCTTTTGAAGGTTCAATACCACCGACATTTTCTAGACTGACTTCTTTGCAGAACTTGTAAGCCTTTGTTTTCTAAAGAATTCATTATTATATTCTGCAAGTTACTATTTTGATCGTTTAATTTGCAGAGTAAACTCTAAACTGCGTTGGTTCTATAACGTTATAGGAGGATAAGTGGCTTATCTAATGGAACTCTGGATTTTATTCAGGATTTGAAGTCCCTGAGAGTTCTGTAAGCAAATATTCATCTTTTTTTAAATCTACCCATGCTTCCTTTATTATCCCGAAGCTTAATATATAAAAAATGTTACCTCTTGCAGAATGTTGAGGAATAACAAACTTTCTGGCTCTATTCCAAATAACATAGGAGAGTATACAAACTTGACATATCTGTGAGTAATCGGAATATATAGATTTACTTCCATTAAATGAATATTATCTAATAAAGAAGAGCTCTCCATTTGGGTGTCTACTTTTCAGGGATTTGAGTTTCAACAATTTGAGTGGACCGATTCCAAGGGGATTGTTCAACTTGAGTCGATTATCTTTCTTGTAATACACATATTCTTCTTGTATGATAAATAATATGTGGTCAATAGGTCTTGTTATTGACCAGTTTTACATATCATCATTCTCAGGTCTCTTGGAAACAACAGTTTAACGGGTACTCTTCCCGATGCAAAGAGCACAACTCTCCGCAATATGTAAGTGAATTTTGTATTTGCAAAATTGGTTATAGGTTGGTTAATCAAAAAGAAAATGTGATACAAATTCAGATATGTTTGGCCAAAATACAATCAAACGAAAAATATTATGTGTCTATTCTAGAAGGGAGAAAAGGGCAAATGTGGAAAGTGGCTAAATGAACAAATCTGCTGCCATCCATTCTAGAACTTTGTAACCCCATCCGTTCTTGAACTCTGTAACTCCTATTTATCTCTTTAGTTTGTGCCTTCTGTTCATGTTCAAGTAGCTTAGCAACCACTTGACTCCTTCCAAATGCTCTCTCCCTGAATTTGACATAAAACGACTCACAACACCTACTACATGAGCAATATTTGGTAGGATGCACACTATAGCATACCTCTAGCTGTCAACTACAAAAACATAGGGAACTTTAGCCATCTTCTTTGTCTTTATCCTTTTTTGGGGACTATTTCTTTGAGAATCTCAACTGACTTCACAAAATTTTACTCTTGGGTATTGTATCTTTTATACTGAACTTCTCTAGAAATTTCTTGATGTATTTTGTTTGACAAAAGGGTTCAGCTTTTCTTCCACGACCTTCTTCCACTGTATGGAGAATACATGATTGACTTTCTCTGATGTATCTCCGAACAATAGGAGATTTAGACTTATCTCCAAGTTTATCTGAGTTCCCACTGCCTCCTGAATCTTCAGCTATCTCATGAGTACCGATAGGTTTTGCAATGTTGTCTTCTGAGATTTCTGAACTCAATTTGATCTTGCTTTTTTGGTTTCTTTTCTCCGTGGGGACTTATTGCAATCTTATCCTTGTATAAGGTACTCTCGTTGAACACTACATTTTGGCTTTTGACAACCTTTTTGTTTTGGTTATCCGAAAAATGGTAACCCATGACATCCAACCCATAGCCTATGAAGGTATATTTCTTTGCCTTTTCCTTGAGTTTGTCTCTTTCAAAATCCTTGATCTTCATATAGGAGACACAACCGAGTACATTCAAATAAACCTTCCGACTAGCCATTCCTTTTCTGGAATTCGAAACCCAGAGGATTGAGGGTCCTCCATTGATTAAGTATGTTGAGCTAACTGGATTTGCCCATAACATCATCGTGGGCAACCCTTCATTTAATCTTATGGTATTTGCCCTCTCGTTCAGTTTATCCCTCAGCCACACTATTCTGCTGAGGTGTTTCATGAATTGTTTTCAACATCTTGATTGCGTATTCATCACAATAATCAATGAATTTTTTAGTGTTGTACTCATCCTTATTTTCCGACTTCAAACATTTAATCTTCTGACATGTTTTGTTTTCCACAGCAACTTTCCGTTTCTTGAAGTAACTAAATACTTCAGATTAGTTCATGAAATAAACCTAACTTTTATACTGCATTTATCAATGAAAGTAACATAATACATGGAACCACCCACCGAATACTAAAATGAGAATATATATATATATATATATATATATATATATATATATATAATATATATATATATATATATTTAAATAAACTAGCTCTAACTTCCCAACCTCCCACCATCATTCTCGGGGATCATTAGTTATTTTTGCACACATTGTATTGACTCTAAGCCTTGTCAATGTGAGAGAGAGGAAAAATGCGTGGATGGACTGTGTAGTTCCTTTCATTGACATCATTCAGATACATCTTCTCTAAATTTTCTATGTTCTTTTAGTTTCATTACATCGTAATTTTTGTTCTTATCAAAATGTTTCTTTTTCTGATTTTCATATAACTATCTTCTTGCAGTGATTTGTCATATAATGAACTATCTGGGACACTTCCTTCTTGGGCCATTGACCCAACCTTACAACTGTACGTACTTTACTTTTTATATTTCTTTTAAAATTTTAATTTGTACCATGTCTATTTTCTATTAAAAAGTGGTAAAATATACATTACCTTATAGCGTAGTTTTAAAGCTAATATCACATTTCTAATTATTAGATATTCCTATCTAGTTATATTGTAATTATATAGTTGTATTAGGTTAGGATTCTACTTTCCATAGATAGGTTTCATCTTCTATATATATTGAGAGGTTGAGATTGTAAATATCATAAAGAAACTTAATTAAGTCTTACATGGTATCAAGCCTATAAGACCACGCTAACCGCCGGTCCCTATTTCTTTCTTTGGCAATCAAGTTTCTCCTATTCTCCTCTCTTTTTTAATGATTAGTTTTCCTTCTCCTTTCTCGATGAACTCTTGATACCTATATGGAGCAACCACATGGGTTTGTTGCTCAAGGGGAATTTGGAAAAAGTTTGTAAATTGCGTAAATCACCGTATGGTTTAAAGCAATATCCTTAGGCTTGGTTCACGATGCATTTTGCTTGTGGTGTCTGTTGATGATATTGTGAATTGTGATTACTAGAAGCGATGGAACTGGGATCAAGAAACCGAAATATTTCCTTGCATCTCGGTTTCAAACTAAGGACCTAGGTACTTTAAAATATTTTTTGGAAATTGAAGTCTCATACTCGAAAAAAGAACTATTTGTCTCAACGGAAATATTGCTTGGGTATTTTGAAGGATTGTGGGATGATTGAAACAAAATATTGGGAGGACCTAATGATTCCAAATGTGAAATTGAAAGCAGACAATGGAGATCCACTTGAGGATCCAAAGAAATACAAAAGAATTGTGGGAAAGCTTAACTACCTGACGGGAACCTCACATTGGGATGTTTTTAGTCATATTCTGAAGTATCTAAAGAGTGCTCCTAAACATGGTATCCTATATCAGAATCACAATCATCATGGGTTGTCGACTACAATGGGAATCCTACAAACAGGCAGTCTACTACATTCTATTGTGTGTTTGTTGGGAGGGAATCTAGTTTCGTGTAAAAGTAAGAAACATAATGTCATTTCCTAGTCAAGTGCACTTGAATGGACTAAATACGAGCAGATATGGGTAAGTAATTTTCTACTTGAAGTTGGGTTTGTTCAGTCTAGACCAATGAATTTGTATTGTAATAATGAGACGGCTATCCATATTGCAAACAATCATGTGTTTCATGAAAGGAATAAACATATGGAAGTAGACTGCCATTTCATTCGTGAATAGCTAGAAGATGGAACTATCTCTACTCCCCATGTTCGAAGTCAACTAGTTGATGTCTTCACCAAAGCACTACATAGTTTGCGGACCTCTGCTATTTGTAACAAGTTGGGCATATGATTCACATCTATGCTCCAGCTTGAGGGGGAGTGTTAGAATGTAAATATTGTACGTATTATCTTTGGCCCAGTTAGCCCATAGGCCCATAGGGTTCCCAACTTTAAGATTTCTACCTCTATATATAGTCATATACATTCGCCTTGTATAACACACAATAAATAAAGTATTTTCAACCTCAATCAATTCCTTCTTTACGATATAGATAGGTCTTATCTAACTTATATGTTGAGAGATTGAGATTGTAAATATCATTAAGAAAGTTAATTAACTCCTACACTAATTTGTGTACATGTAGTAACATCCTTGTGAACAACTTCACTTTAAACAATTCAGAATTGAATTGTCTCCAAAGCGGTTTCCCTTGTGGTCGTGGATCACCAAGATGTAAGCTAAAAATGAAGTTTATTTTGTTAATAATAATTTTTTTAAGTAAATTACATTTTTGGTCCAAGTAAAATGATTATATACTTGGAATAAGGACTAAACCGTTACAAAGACCAAAATTGCAAAAACCAGCTATATTCTTTGGACCAAAGATGTAATTTACTCTAATGTATTTTATTAAATTGATTTGTGGAGTACCATTTCATGTTGATTTACAGATAGTAACTTTGGAATCAATTGTGGTGGCCCACGAATCACATCCTCAAGTCAAATAGTCCACGAGCAAGACAACCAACTTTTGGGACCAGCAGCGTACTACTTGAGCCCCGAAAAGAAGTGGGCTGTCAGTAATGTGGGAGGAAGAGGCATCTTTCATAAAAACACAGAGTCCACCCAACACCAGTTCAACAACTCATTAGCATCCACTTTACGCCAATTCACAAACGCTATAGATTCAAAACTCTTCCAAACAGCAAGACTCTCTACTGAATCATTAAGATATTACGTTTTAGCCCTTGAGAATGGTAACTACACTGTAAAACTCCAGTTTGCAGAACTTGTAGTTGAAGATGGTCCCACTTGGAGAAGCCTCGGAAGGCGAATATTTGACATTTATATCCAGGTATATATGTGTTAAATAACATTTCCTTTTGACTTAATGAGATTAATGAGTTAAGCACTTAACCTGGACAGCTATACATGGCTGTTTCTATTTTACTTAAGCCACACATAATGACTTAATGAGTTAAGCCAAAAATCTGGCTTAATGTATTAAGACACTAACTCTTGACCTATTTGTCATTCTTCTTTTTCCTCCCTTGTTATAATTGATTAATATTGATAGAATTAATGACTTGTGAATTCTTTTTATTTTTTTGGAATGTAATGTAAAATGGTCATATAATCTCATTAGAAAAGAAACAAGCTTTAGGTATACAACATTTTGTGGGGAATTCATGAGAAAAAAAAAAAAAAAAAAAAAAGTCCCTTTATTGAAAGAGTAGAAATGGCCGATATGCATGGTTTGGTGGAAATAACAGATTCCGTCAAATTTAGATTTTTGTTCCATGGCTGGTCCTTGTGGTTTCACTTTGTTGCAACCTTGGTCCCTGGGTCGTTATTTTTTTTCAGGGAAACCAGGTGTTTAAAGATTTTGATATCAAAAGGGCTGCAGGGGGAGCTTCATTTAGTCCTGTTACAAGGGAAGTGACAGCTGAGGTTTTAAATAACTATCTTGAAGTACATTTCTTTTGGGCTGGAAAAGGGTTTTCTTACATACGTGATCAAGGAGATCTTGGACCTCTTATCTCAGCAATCAGTGCTACCCCAAGTAAGTATTCTTTCTTGAAATTTATTGTTAGTTTTTGGTATTCGTTCTTGACAAAATGACGAGAAAGCCCTTTACTTGTTCTTGTACAGATTTCATACCTACTGTGGGCAACAATCCGTCTTCCAATAACAAGAACAATAATACCGGTTTGATTGTAGGGATCTTGACTCCGGTTGGAGTTGTGAGCCTTTTGACATTAGTAGCCCTAAATATTATCCGTCAACAAAGGAAAAGGAGGGATACATCTGGAGATAATGATGAACATGAAGGTGGTTTTTCTGGATCTTTCTTTATGACAGGAGGGATACATTTGGATTTCTTTTTTACATTTGATAGTTTGCAGAGTTTTTGGGAATTGACACGAAGCCTTATACTTTTGGCTATGGAGACTTGAGAGATGCAACAGATGATTTTAGTCCTGCAAATAAGCTTGGGGAGGGTGGTTTTGGACCTGTTTACAAGGTAAGGTAGTTTTTTACTTTTTTTTTTTTTTTATGAAGAGTCCGTTTTTGCTTCTTATAAATAAAGTAAACCATAATTGGTTGGATGGAATGGAATGACGAAAAAGGGAAACATTAGTTAATGGAATGAGTCATTACATTCCTTGCTCATGTTTGGTTGTCGTGTATGATTTTTCATGAGTTTTTATGGTATGTGTAAATACAGTGTATAATTTGAATTATACTTTATAGATTATTTTAAGGGATAGTCGCTAAAATGACCAAAATGGGAGGCTTCCTATAACATTCTTTTGTTTATTTATTAGTTTTAACTTATATTGCTGTCTATTTATTAATGAATAACATCACGTTGAATGACTCATTCCATTCCTCCAGCCAACCAAACATGAAAATGGGATGTAATGATTCATTCCATTACATTGCTTCTTGATTCCGTTCCATCCTACCAAACAGTCCCTCAAGTTGTTTCGTTCCACCAAAATGATCCATTCCATCACACCAAAACACTATTGCTAGTTGCTACAACCTAAAAATCTTTTCAACAATAAACAGGGAACACTTGAAGATGGAAGAGTAATAGCTGTTAAAAAACTATCCATAGCCTCACACCACGGTAGGAGTCAATTTGTGGCAGAAATTGCTACAATATCCGCAGTCCAACACCGTAACCTCGTGAAATTATACGGATGCTGCATTGATGGAGCAAAACGACTTCTTGTCTACGAGTATCTTGAAAACAAGAGTCTTGATCAAGCATTATTCGGTATAAAAAGTTACATATTTTTAGACATCAAATATAGAGTACTAAATGTTACATTTGGGGTTTTCATCTGTGATGCAGGAAGCAACAGATTGTCCCTTAAATGGTCCACCCGTTTTGATATATGTTTGGGAATAGCAAGAGGTCTCGCATATCTGCATGAGGAATCCCGTGTACGAATTATACATCGAGATGTGAAATCTAGTAATGTTTTGCTTGATTCTGATTTGAACCCTAAGATAGCAGATTTTGGTCTGGCCAAGCTTTATGATGACAAGAAAACGCATTTGAGTACTCGTGTTGCAGGCACATTGTAATATTTAATTACCTGACATTTCAAGTTTTTCTCATTTGAGTAACAGTAAGTTGACTATGTCTTACTGATTCATTGTGTAGTGGGTATCTTGCACCAGAGTATGCAATGTGGGGACACCTTACAGAGAAGACTGATGTGTTTGGGTTTGGAGTTGTGGCTCTAGAGATTATCAGTGGAAGGCGCAATTCAGATTCAAGTTTGGAAGATGACAAAATATACCTTCTTAATTGGGTATGCTTCATCTTCTTCTTGATGCATGCCAAAACCTGCATTTTTTTTATGATGTTTACTGGCCTTTGGTATGATTTTAGGCGTGGAAGCTATATGAAGATAATCGTGAATTAGAGTTGGTGGATGAAGGATTGTCTGAATTTGATGAGGGTGAAGTGAAAAGAATGATAAGAGTTGCCCATTTATGTACGCAAACATCGCCAACACAACGACCATCAATGTCACGTGTGGTGGCAATGCTTTTTGGAGATATGGAAGTAGCCGGTGTCATTACTCGACCCGAGTACTTGTCGTGTTTCGAGTTTTATGATTCTACAACATTTAAGAGTGATAGTACGATTTCAATAGTTTCACCACGTTCACATGATGATTCCCTACCGATGCTTCATAATATCATGGGAGAAGGTATGTGACCTCAATGTGGAAAGATGGTTGAACGCAAATGTAATTGTTATAATATTGATGGTATAAATGAATTATAGATAAAACCTTTTATTGTGATGCGTAAAATAATACTGTTTCAAAAATAACTTTCTACCAAAAAGGGTTTTATGTTAGGCACAGTTAAGTCGAACCGAATCGTTTCTTTCCAAGAGCATCATATGAGATCTATATTACGTACATGGTGGCCACCACCACCAAATAAACCAAGATTAGATCAAGGGGATAACAAATCATTACGTCATCAATTTTGAATAATGTAACACCCCACCTGTGCTGACCAATTTGGGACATCCTTAAGATAATCAAATGTGTGTTCCAATTGCAGTCGGGAACCAAACAAAGTTCTATGTCCAAAGTGAAAAAAGTTTCGAACACTTCTACCAAAAACTTGGCATGACTTTCAGGAAAAGGAAACTGGACAAATCCGCTAACAATCTAGATAAATAAGTCAACCCAAAACCATGTATAGCGTCTATGTGGCAAAATTTGTTCATATCATGTCCACATGGCACTGCTATAACATATATGTAGAATTTTACATTTTCACATAAAAAAGGCAACAAAGTGGGTTATAATTCTGGACATGGAACCTACATGAATCGAACCGCAAAATCATGGTCGTGGATAAATTGTTGTTTAATCAGAACCAATAGACACGCAAAAAAACCGATAAATAATATTAAGAATCATATGACAATTAGTTGCGAAAATCTTTTAAAAACCCAACATATTTTCATCAAAGTCTTAAAAAAACCACTATATTATTTTGTGTATGTTAAAACCCTTATATTTTTTAAAATGTATCATTTAAGGCATTGAGTTCAGTAAATCCTCGATAATCGGAAATGCTAGGTAATCGGTTCTCAACGTTTTGATTGTTAAATTTTCAAAAAATATGAGGGTTTAAATGTACTGAAAAATTAATATAATGGTTTTTTTAATAATTTCATGAAAATATATTAGGTTTTTCTGAGATCAGAAAACCTTAAAAAATAACTTTAGAAAATATAAGGGTTTTATTGCACTAAAAAAATAACATAATGGCTTTTTTAAGCATTTGATGAAAATATGTTGGTTTTTTCTAAAGTTTTCCCTATTATTAATATGACTACCAAGTTTCGTACATAAACCAGATTAATCCTTCTCAATTAGATATGAATATCTGATTATAAGAAAGGTAGAAGGAGAGTGTCCTGTTATTGGACGAAATTAAAAACAATACAATAATATAAAACCAACCTGTTGACAACTGATTTTAAATCTTGATTGTGGAATAACTGCACGGATCGAACTCTTGTCCTTAAAGGTTTTACTTCGCTTTTATCGGGTTTAAGCAACAGAGTAAAACCCCGGGATTTAATGCAGATTTACCGAATTTCCAACAACAATGAAAAATGATAAACACAAGGTGAATGCTAAGAAACCGGGAAGAAATTGTAGAGAGAATGAGAGAGCTTTTAATTTTCGTGAGTATCAGATATGTCTCCTAGAGAGCTGTATTTATAGGCATCGAAACCCTAGAAGACAGAAAAGGGGCCCACATGGGTTGGCCCTTGGAAATCTAAGGCGACGACTTGCTCTCCAAGCTAGCTGTTTTCTAACCTTTTTAGAATATTCTATTGCCATATCTACAAAGTGGTAGAATATTTTGTTGTCATATCAATGAAGTGCCAGAATATTATGTTGTCATATCTACAAAGTTAACCGTTTGACTAGATCGGTCAAACCGACTTGACCCAAAATCCACCAAAATAAAAGCTCCTCGGCTCCCAGCAACCAATACGTCGTGTGAAGTGCCAAGTGAGCCTAAATCGCACCATTTGTGTGAAGTGCCAAGTGAGCCTAAATCGCACCATTTGTGCAATCATGGTGTCAGCTAGTGCTAGGCTAGGCTAGACACGCGCGTGGGCTTGGCCCATTCCTTTGATCTACTAAAGCCTTTGAAGGCCTATCAAGAGAAATGGTATATAAACCCACTAAAGGTTTCTTCCCCCACCAATGTTGGATAGATGAAACTTGACAACTTGAAAGATTTCCTCTATAATTACCAACAATCCCCCACCAAGTTGGAAAGTTTCCTTTCACTTAGACACATGATCTTACTTGGGTGTCACGGAGATTACACCCTAGTTTAATGAGAACAAATAAGAAGAGAATAATTAAATGGTATCCTTACAGGTTTAAACCATGAACCTTGTGACCTCTCTGGTTTACCCCCACACATCACATGTCGTCTTTGCGTTCTTCCTGAGCGCTAATATGGGCATACGCTATAAATCTTTTTCATGACCTTTTAAAAGATAAACCATTCATCTCCACTTGAGGCGGCACCACCTCTAGATCATATAGGCAAAGTTTTACAACATCTTTGTTGCTTAGATGTCGCAAAAACTTTTTTATATTCGTAACTCAACCTCGTTCTTGGTAACGACATACTATCCTACCTCACATGGATCTATCTTTAATGATAGTACCTTCTACCATTAGTGACTTCGTTGTTACTCTTTAAACTTGAGAATTAGGAGCACTAATGCCAAGTTGGGTTTCCATCACTAAGCGATTCTATTGTGGTCTTAGACCCATGAATCTCGTGGTAAATGTAACCAAATCTCTCGTCAGAGGTTTGGTAAACATTAAAACAACACCCAATTAATAATTGGGTCCCAATACATAACCATAAATCCATACTTGGGTAAAAAGATTATTTTACCCCAACCTAGCTTGATCTAAGCCCAAGGCCCAAATCACACTCTGAAGGCCCAAAAGCGAAACAATCAACCAAGGCCCAACATATGGCCCAAATTTCCAAATTAGGCCTAAACCCCTTACATGGGCCTTACCCTAAGGCTCATCCAATTTTTCCTAGTCCATACACTTGTTCTCAGATAGCCCATCAATAACCCGATCACCAAATCCTAAAAAAAGGCCAACTTGAAGCCCAAACACGATTAGAATTTCAAATAAAATGACAATCATGGTTAAGTAAAAATGCTTAACCTATTAAGAACTTAATCCATTAAGTACAAAATTGCATTAAGTTAATTGTAGGGATATATATATATATATATATATATATATATATATATATATATATATATATATATATATATATATATAATTAACAGCATTAATGCGGGTCCAACTATCTCCAAAACTAGGGTTTCTTGACATTAGGGTTTTTTAAACCCTAATTAGGGTTTTCAATCCAAACACATGTCAATTAGGTCCAAGGTTAAGTTTTCAAGGGGTTTTCAATCCAAACCCCTTACATGGGCCTTACCCTAAGGCTCATCCAATTTTTCCTAGTCCATACACTTGTTCTCAGATAGCCCATCAATAACCCGATCACCAAATCCTAAAAAAAGGCCAACTTGAAGCCCAAACACGATTAGAATTTCAAATAAAATGACAATCATGGTTAAGTAAAAATGCTTAACCTATTAAGAACTTAATCCATTAAGTACAAAATTGCATTAAGTTAATTGTAGGGATATATATATATATATATATATATATATATATATATATATATATATATATATATATATATATATATATATATATATAATTAACAGCATTAATGCGGGTCCAACTATCTCCAAAACTAGGGTTTCTTGACATTAGGGTTTTTTAAACCCTAATTAGGGTTTTCAATCCAAACACATGTCAATTAGGTCCAAGGTTAAGTTTTTAGGTTAATTAGGGTTCCACTAGGTCGGCCACCACCAATAGCCACCTCGGGCGGTGGTGGTCGACGGCGGTAGTGGTGGTGGTGGTTTTCGAGTTAGAATCCGACTAAACAAGTTTCTACTACATAAACCACTTCAAATATACACCCAAACAATGTGCACTCACACAGCCACCACCTCACAACGGTTTGTGATGGTAGAAAACGGCATCAAGGCAACAACCACCATGGTTGGCTGCCATGGTGGGTTTTTCCCTCGTTCTCTGGCCAAGCAATTGCACACACACAACATACACAACCAACAACAACAGCACACATGTCAACACATGCTAAATACGAACAAAACAACCCACCTGGTGGCGTACAGTGGTCGGAGGATGATAGCGGAATGGAACAGCTACTGGAGCGGCGGCGGCGACGCAACAGCAGAAGAAAACTGGAATAGCAACCAAGGCGGTCGTGGCGTCCGGCGATGGCTTCGTCTTCACGGAAGCGGTGCAGCGACGACAACAACTCCGGTCGTTCACGACCTACGTATCGGCGTTCACAACTCTATTTTTGGTCTTCATCGACTCACTTTCGGCTGCTCACGACATCACCGACAGCGGGCTGTGGCGGTCGACGCCAACGGCGAAGTAGCAGGTGGCGGATGAAAGTGTTCCAAAGATGGTGGCGGTTGGAGGAAAATTGAGTTGGGGTTGCATCTTCAAAATGAGGGGGAAAGGGGCACCGGGTTTATCCCATGTCTCTTTCAAACTTATTTCATTTTTTTCCAAATTTAGTCCCTCTTCACCAAATTTTTTTCAAACTAAGCCCAATAATTACCAAACAACCCCCCACCTTACAATTTACACTTCCCGAGTTTATAACATTTAACTCCCAACACTAACACTGATAAATTATTATGGATTTAGGGCTAAGAAAATAAATTACATCACAAAGTTTTAATTATTATTACTTATTTATTTACTTATTTTATTTTAAGCGTAATGTTACAATTCTCCCCCACTTAAATTAGATTTCGTCCTCAAAATCATTCATTATCATTCCCGACAGGCCACACAACTTGATCAACATGGCCACAACCCCGAGCATATCCCAACCTTCCCAAAGCAACCGAAACCAACCCTCACAGGGCTCTACAACCCGAATATGAACGAACTCCTTACAACATAATCACATTTACTCCATCTGGAATCTAAAGTCTCGAGATGGTTTGACTCACTGAAAGACTGTCCATACCGAACTATTATTATTGAATCCCATCCACTTATCTCCCAGCTAACTGATCCACTTCTAATAACTTGAGATTCCTACTAGAAAACAGAATCACATACCAAATATCCCTACAAAACACTTATACTTGACAGAATGCT